AGGCTTTTTTTTCAAATTTTGATATCCCTTAGATTATAAATGCTTCATTATTTCACAAATCACGATTTGTAATTTTTAATTTTATAATTTCTGCATGCCATCTTACTAGATTTAAACTGATTATCTAATATCAGGAAAAATCCCAAATCCGGAATCGCGGAAGTCCCAACGTGTCCGGATCTCGGAATTTGTTCTGTATTTACCCTAACATCTATTTATTGCAAAATAGAACACTCCATAAGATGTATGTGCACAACCTCAAAGAAATTCAGGCTTTCATGACTACAAATATGAAAAACAGTTACTACGACAAAGACATGGTCAATTAACTTCAGTTTCTCTGCAAGTCACGGAAGACAGAGTCTGATCTTATGCGTAAAGTAAGCTTTTGAAAGCGATAAAGACAACCAAGCTGATTTTAAAATATTATTTACGAACATAAAATAAATCATTTTGACAACACGTAGCCAAAGTTCTAAGTTCATAGTTGATTCATAAATATGCATTAGTCAGCAATAGCAGATAATAAGTTCATATCGCAGAAGTTAAATTCACTAGAGTCATTATTTTCAATTATTGAAATTTTACTGCAAGATTCGAGACAAAACTGAAAGCAATTTGTAACTAATGGTTGTATTTAAACATCCAAAATTTCTTAGTCAGGAAATATAGTAAATATATAAAACCTTCTGTTGTGAACATTCTAGAAATTCATTGGCTGTGTTAATACATAGATTTCAGAGCTTTAAATTGATTTACTGATATTAAAAATAACTTAAAAAGCAATCTTTTTATTATTAATTCATAATGCAAAACTTAAGGTATGGAGTAAAAACACCGATAAGGCGAAGCTATTAATATGAAATGTTTCTGTTTAATTGTGCACATATAACGCTCAGATTATTATACTTTTCCTTTACATCAAAGTATTAAAAAGTTAAAAGGCGAAGGACAAAATGATGATACAATGGTGTGTTCCCATTTCTGGGCTTCTTATTATTATTTTATTTATTATCATTTATTATATCTTCTTATTTAAAAATCTTCTAGGTTTACTCGAATTCAACAATTTTTATTCCACCCACCTCATATTTTCTTTCTGTTACCGCATAATTATAGAGGAAATAATGTATCTTTTTTTACGCTTTTTCAATCTTACGCATTGGCAGTACAAAATGTTGGCATATCAAGTTACATGATATTGATCACTTCTCTGGCCTTTAAATTTTAGTTTTTTCAATTAATTTTTTACATAGTTTAATTTAAATTTTGTTTGAGATAAATATGCTATTTTCTTACATTTTGTATTAAAATCGTGTTACACGTCGAATTTTTAGTTTTTCAGCTCTATTTTTCTTCTTTCCTTTGCCTTCTAAATTTAAATAGCAACGATTGGTAAAAATATGTATTTACAATTTCAACTTTCAAGAACTGTAGTACTACTTCTAAATCTGTATACTTCATTTTTATGAAAATCTTCAATAACATAATCACAAAATTCTATTAATTATGTGTCTGGGAATTTTCTCTTAAGCAGGATAACCATTTCAGTAAATTACTTGATATATATATACAAACCTATTGTACATTCTATACTACATTTTAAATTTATTATTATCTTTATATACCGTTACTAATCCAGCATCTCCCTCCAGCGGACGACTTGATGTTGTTCCATTGTACTCTGCGTCAATGTCACTGCTTATATCTTTAAGGACAACAGTGAATAATATAGTTTTCAATCAAAGAAACCGTATAATCTAAGAACACAATTTTAAAAGAAATCTTTAAACGTTGCATCCATAAAGAAAGTTTGGTTGCTGTTTTATTACTTTTTGCTTTTCATACAATAAAAGTCCAACAAAAACAAAAACAAAATAACAAAAATCAGTTGTCTTTTGATGAATCGATTAAGAAGAAGTTGAAATTCATAATTTTAATAATTCATTTTTCAGTCAATAACATTTCCTTGCGAGCAACTTCGCAAATGTATTCTTAGCATTTTGCTTAGAATAGAATAATACAATTTTGACTCCTAACAACTGTGGAATCAGTAGACTGAATGTTTTCTTCTTTTCCCCCAAGACTATATTTAACTCACAAATAAATATCTGTACGTACTTTATGCGCTCAAAGTTTTCCAGTCTGCTGCGGTGCACTTATCAAGAACTTGAAACGGTTGTGCACTATTCTTAAAATGCTAATCTACTAGAATCGCAAAGACAGACGTCATAGCTTATCGTTTTACCTTTCAGCTACAATAATCACGTACTCAAGGTAAACGTTAAAATAAAACCTATTTATTAACACGTCAACGTGACGCGCAGGAATATAATAGAGATAATTTCAGGTGCCTGCGAAATGCAGATCCAAAGTTAAATTCAAATTAAAATTGGATATATTATTAGCAGGCGCCTCAAGAAACCTTGGCTCGGCTCTCAGCATTCGTGGATTAAATACAACTTACTGACTAACGCTGATTAACAAATGCCAGCAGGAATTATCTCTTAAACTCAAGCACTCTGTGCTTATGTATTTTACCTAATCTCTATTCTGGTAGGAGTTGACGAAACTGAAAGTTGTAGAAGAGCGACGATAATAAGATAACTGGTTAACCGAAATATAAAAATGTATAGACTAACTACTTGTATTGCTTAAATTCTTAATGAATTTGGCGTAATTTTACCCACACCATTACAAATAGATGGCACCACACTTAACAAACTGCTCCAGGCGGATAGAGAATTTCTCATTAATATATCATAACGCATAAGCTTCTTTTACATGATGGAAATATAAATTAAAATTCTCAAGTAAAATGACTGGAATTTAAATAATTTGAATGAACTAAAATAAATTTTCCTCATTTAAATTAAGTTTTGAATGCGTTTAAGAAAGTATATTCAAAAATTTAGAAATGGATGTATTAGAAATCATGAGAATAAAGGTTTGATTTTGGTTTATTTTGTAATGGCAAGGCTCCAGAGAACTGTCTGCCTAAGGGTATGGATTCATTTATAGAGGACTTTCTAAGTGAAACTAGTTTGTATACACATGGAGAAATCAACGAAGATGTCTATGTGACCAAACTAACGTTATCTCGCGAATAGGCTGAACTACCAGCCTATTCGAACCGCTCGGCCGCTGGTGGGTCCTTAGAATAAAGGGAAAATAAACCATATAAGTGATATAATGCATGAGAAGGCTATCAGAATTCGGCAAGCAGGTTCATAACATTCAAGATTTACGAGAAGGCATAATGATCTTCATAAGCTCTTTAGCCAACTGGGCAATAATTACCGAAGTGATCGATGGAACTCTCTCTATAAAACTTGTATTTGGACGCCATGTACTACATCAAAAAGTCCACTACTTTCTGTCTCGACAATTATAGAGTGCGCGTAGATCCCTTAGAATATTTTCAGCACGACTATTGAGATTTTGAAATCCTTTGTGAAGGCATGACGATGCATGTATCGATAATCTGTTTCGATTAGCTTTATGATAATGTAATTATATATAAGGCAATCTGCTATTTATATTCTTTAAAGAGCATCCCAAACCATACCCCAATTGAAATGGGTGTAAAATTTTCTTATTGAATTTTTTAAGGTGCAGATTTGGATGCCAAAATGTCTTCGTCATAATTTGCATATTTTTGGCATTTTGCTGCATTTTTATTATATAGCTTAACTTGACCACAAAACTTTAGTTTGCAAACGTTGTTCGGAGACATTAAGTAGGTTTACGTCTTTACAATTATTTTTTACTGCCTTTTGCTTTAGAAATACAGGATGATGCATATCGCAATGCGTTGACTTAGAACTCATGCAGAATATGTGTGGCGTATTTAGGAATCACGCAAGTAATATACCATGGACGATGACGTATGTAGATGAGAATTTCGGCGGTGGTAACCTTCACTCGAACTAACTCTATTACAGACACTCAGCCTGTATTACGTACATTCTTATTCTAAAGAACGCGTTGAAACGTATTATTGAATCATTCCTGCAATGTCTTATATACAGGAGCAAAACGACGACATTTAGAGGTTATTAATATGTACCTATCGCATAATTTCAAAATTAAATTATGTCTGTATTGTCGTTTTATGCACTATATTAAAAGCCGTTGCGTATATTGTTACTTCTCATCCAAGAAATTTACTACAAAACAACCCCCAACTTTCTGTTGCTATTTCAGATTGAGAGATAATTGCCCTTCCTGTAATATGTAATGTAAATTGTTTATTTAAAGGGAAAGAAAATATTTTTGTCTATCTTTAAAAATGTGTTAACCAAATTATAGTTTTGTCAAAAAATAGTTCTTATTAAATAATTATTTATTCTTTACATTATTAAAAAAACCTTCTGATAGTAAGTAAAGGGAGTATACATATATAATTCCTTTGGCATTAATTTAAAAATTTCATATTGTTTTGCATATGCCTGACATATGAAATGAAAATTCATCTGAATATGTATCTATCTTTATCCTTAGCTTATCCAGACACATAACTAAAATGAAATTCATATTAGTGAATCAAAAGAATAATTTTTCGGTTTAAATCAATTCCTACATACTGATATTTTTAGAGCGAGAAAGAGATTCTGGAATTAAACATACAAAATGTTAATATTAAACCTTTCTGAACTGAAGGAGAATGATTTAAAACTATATTTTTAATAAGGTAGGGTAAATAACAAAACTTAAATATGATCTTCATGATTTTCCTACTAAATAAGAAAATTTAGAGCAAAATTCATACTTAAATATCTTTTTATTAATGGTTTACCTACTAGATGCTTATCATGGGTTTGCATTTTATATATACTTGTAAAGGCACTTGTATGTACAAGCACCTTTACAGTGAACTGTTTGAAATGTGTCTGAAAATATATCTGAATGAAATCTATCGTTCGTACTCGTAAACAGTTTTAATTATCAGTTAAAAATTCAACAATGTATGACTATATAATGTACAAGAAAGACGCACATTTTTCAATAAATATATTTATTTATTTGCTCCTGGAGAAGATATTTAATTCCGTAGAAGTAAGATTTATATTCTATATTGCCAAACTGAATCAAATACTGAATAGCACTTTAGTAAAATATTCAGCCTCTGCCGGCAGGAAACCCATTTGCAAATACAGGAATTTCATTATTGTCAGTCCGTTTTCCTCTGGATCCCATGAAACCAGTGGCTAAAACAGCCAGGGGGTCATGAACATTTACTGCTGGCCCTTTGCTTCTGCTGGAGAGGAATACAAAAGGTGAATGGGTGTTTCCTAGTCGTTTAGCAGCAGCATTTTCATAGCGAAGCAAACCATTTAGGACAAGTCTCATGTCTGGTCCATTCTTGGCGAAGTTGAAAATATCTTCATGATCGGTATCCTGCAATATGAAATAAGGTCTTTCAAATTACATACACATATGTAAAATTTCAAGATAAGTTTGGATATTGATTTAAATTTGCTAGAATATTTTTAAACTTTACGTTTTATAATGTAAAACTCCAAAGATGAAATAAACATGTTTGACATTACGTAACTATTCGTTAAGAATCGGATGCAGGAAGTTGGACTAAAATCAATCGTTAAAGAGTTATAAGATAACGCATTTCTTTTATGTTTTAAATTATATACACATATATACAGGCACTACATATGGACATTTATAATGCACCTATTCTACCGGAGTAGCAAGAATGCTTTATTTGCTCTCTTGGATTTTCACATAATAATATGAGTAAGTGTTTATCCAACAGCATTACTTATTGCCCAAAACATCTTGCCTGATACATGTGCATCTTGTATTACCAAAGAAATTTAGTGTTTTCTCTCAATAGTAATAAAACAATTCATCATTTTATTTGTACTGTGCATGCCACAAAACTTTTAAAAACTATGTGCAAAACCTTTGAATTCAGTTTAATAAGGCGAAATATTTTTGTCTTTATGGTATTGATTTCCTGTGACTTATTCCTCTTATCTTGCTATAATATTAGACATCCGATACACAACTCAATATTCTTTCAAATACTTTTAGCATGCATGGTATAGTGTAAGTAAATGCTGCAAATTCCGCCGTACATTCTATGTTTTAGCAGATAATTTCATTCAACAGTTCCTCCCAAGTATTTTAATGTTTATTAAAAATTCCATTTAGTTTATTCTAATATCATTTAATTTTTCTTTTTATATGTTAAGATAAAAGTTACTTACTTTGCAGCATTTACTTAATTCCTTCTAATATAAATTGATTAAATACAACAGGAAATTCGATAGTAGAAACTAATAATGTTAAATTTATTTACACTGTATGCTTTTTGATCTTCGAAGTTAAAAATAGGCATTACAAGCATTAAACTGTTTTTTTTTATTTTCCTTACATTTAATTTTCATGTATCTTACTTGTTTTCTATGAATTCTTGGCTTTAAAGATGCAAGTTTACTGCAGGTTTTATTAGCTACTAGCAGCTACGCTGCCAGCCTTCGTCTGACTTTTAAATGTACCGTAAAATGCCTGAAGGGAACAGCAAACGTTAAATTTAAAAGCTACGCAGAATTTTACTCTGCAGAACAGTTTCATAAAAAATGCATTACATATAAAAAATTACAATGAAATAAGAAATATCCTTTAATACAAATATTAATTATCCTAATAAATAAATTAACCAACTTCCCGTTGCCTTCTCTCAACAAACGTCCAGTATCCAAGATAAACATTAAATTTAAAAACTGTACAGAATTATCGCACTCATTTTTCCAAGTGGCAACAGTGCTGATTTTCAACAGTCAGCAGTCCAGCGTGCAATTGAATGAAAAATTGTTGCCAAAACCACATTTCTAAAAGAATGAAACTATTCAAAATGATACGATAAAATCGAAAAGCTAAAATTTTAAAAAATTCTGATTCGAATTTGGAAAAAATCGCTTCGAGGTGTACTGGGTCTTGTCTAAATGCACCTATATACCAAATTTCGTAGCCCTGGGTCTATACGCTTACGCACAGCACGAACGAAAGACACACAGACTCTTTCTTTTATTATATGCAGAGATTAAAAGTACTATCAGCTAGCAAAAACTGCATAAAACCAAAGAAAGTATTAATAAAAACGTGCTTATTTTAGTGCATGCGCATATAATTGTGAACTTTTCTGCTTCTTTGAGATTTAAATTAGGATATTTGCACAATTCAGACTTTGATATAGACTAATTTTATGACTGTGTAGTGTGCAGAATTTCACATAATGATAAGTGTAGTTTCATCACATTTTTGTTTGATTTTAAAAAAAACTTTATTTTTTATAGCTTACTCTTTCTTGTTCTTACAGCTAGTAAAAATGCTAACTTACATATTTCTAACTTTTATCAAAGCTTACGGTGTTTTTATTTCTTCAATTTTTCATTTTGTTTTAAAACTGCAATTTTAATCTATTTTTCATTAACTATCGAAAGTTCAATAAGGTAATTTAATTTTGGTAGGAACATTTTTGAATATATTGATAACCGGTGAAATTAAATTTGAGGTACTTAAATAAATGTGCTAAAAGTTAGTTCCTAAGATCTACGTGCACTATAAAAATTAAATAGAGCAGATCTCTATATATCTAAATTTGACTCGCAAATTTGAAATCAGAATTTTGGTAGGAACATTTTTGAATATATTGATAACCGGTGAAATTAAATTTGAGGTACTTAATAAATGTGCTAAAAGTTAGTTCCTAAGATCTACGTGCACTATAAAAATTAAATAGAGCAGATCTGTATATATCTATATCTATCTATCTATTCATATAGATAGATAGATAAATTTGACTCGCAAATTTGAAATCAGACGATCAGAATTAAATTACACAAACAAAGTAACTACACAAGAAGAATATTATTTTTTCAACAGTTTTAAAACATTCTATTTTAACAAAAGTTAAAACTGTTAAAAATACATTTTTGTTTGAAACATGGACCTAATTTACATTCTGTCAAAGTTGTCAAATATAATTTTCTAAAATTACCTTCCTTTCATGACAGTTTTGAAGATACGTTGGACAAAGGCTATTAAATGTTTTTCATAAATTCACAGTAATTAATTAGAAATTAATATTTTAGAATTTTAACATACTATTTTTATAGACGTTTATTTCTCGACACACAAGTTACCGCCCGCCGATGGAAGCTGAGATGATCTAACAGAGCATTAAAAATTCGAGGGTTGGTAAGGAAGCTGTTGAGAAGTTAGTGGCAGTAATAACGCAATTAGAAACTTTAGCTGCTTAAGCATTTCTTAAACAAAGTTTGAATTAACGTAAGATAACGTTAAATTCAAATGTAGGTAAAGTATTTAGAGACTACATATAAAATAGACAATTTACGCTAGTATCAAGGTAATAAATAACCAGTGCTTATTTTAAAACGCCGGCTAGCAAAATGCTAAGTCGGGACAAAAACTTGGACAGAGCTGACGATAGTAAATGGCAGCGAGACGAGGCTTCCAGAAACACTGAGTACCAATTAAGCTCTCGATTTAAATACACAAACAAATAATTTTCATTATTGTGAAGATTACAGAAAGAAGAAGTTATAGTAAAGGTTCAAATCGCAAAAACTGATTGATTAACATAAAACAAATCTGAATGGTTTAAAATTTTTAGTCTTAAAGAAAGACGTTTGTTAAGTCTTTTTACACTCTTCCTGAGCTCGCAGTCTACCAGTCTGCTGTTGCACTCACTCTTGCTAACGCTTTTTTTTTAAGTGTGTGTATTCTGTGTGTGTGCGTGTTTAGCTTTATTATTAAGCATTGTTTTCTTCGTACTTGCGCCATATACAGTTCAATGGTAAAACCACAAAATTTTTAAAAGCTGCTTAACAGCATATGATTAGAATTTCTGGTGCAGTGTCAAGTTTTGGCATACATTTTTCTATTTTTTCAGTCTCATCATAGTTTTCAATTTTGTTAGTAAATGGCTTAAAAACTTTTTATCCTTTTATTATAAATGTTTTTGTGTTAACTTTATTAAATATCTCGTTCTTCGCACTTACGCCACATAAATTCAATTCAACAGCAAAATCAGAAAAACTTAAAAGCAGTATATCTTTAGATCTTCCGACAGATAGTCTCGCAGGTTGGAGATAAAAATATTTTATTTAATAGAGCTGTCACTGCTCGCATTCAAATCGTTGAGTTTGTTAATGGAAAATTCGTTAAAGGTTTAAAAAATATGACATTTAATAAAAACATATGTAACCTTATTCCATAAAATTGTAAATGTATTCATTCAAAAGTGAAATAATTACAATGTATTTAATAACATTATTATTAATTCGAGGTGAAATCCCATTTCGAGACTAATAGCCTCATTTGTGCTGAAAATTTATAATCATTTTAAGGATAATTAGTCACTTCTTAATACATATTTGCACGAATTGTACGTAGGTTTATTTCTTTATTTAAGCACTGTAATTTAAAAACTGTTAGTCTAATATTCTAAGAGCATGTTCAGAAGCTCATACTCAACAATACTATATAGTACTTGCAAATATCATGCGCGTTCATCACATACTCTTGCACATGCTACTACGGGAATCGGTGGATGTGTATCAAATCCATCTCTATGAATTCTTTCAGAAGCGTTCGATTGTTACAGCTTTGTTTTGCACATTAAGTAATGAGCTTTCTTTAGTAACGAAATGTAGTGGAAGTACAAAAAAAAAACCGATACTTTTATGCATTTTAAGTTAGTGCCTACAAATCACATTTGGAAGACACCTAACAAATAATTGCTGCAAACAGAGAAATGCGGAAGTAATTCGAAAGGGACGCTTGGAGGAAAGAATCCTTAGAAATAGGCAAAGACTCCCCTCAAAAAACTTCGAAATTATGCTATCGAGTTCAATCATTTTATTGTTATTTATTTATCATTGTTATTATAAATATAATTTTATCTAATTATTTATTTAATATGTTAAATGCATTTAACCTTCAAATTTATAAAACAAATTATGTTTTTACCTTATCAGAGGCAGAGAACGGACTATCATTTCTTTGATCTTGGCTGATTGCTGTTCTCCAGAAAGCCAGCAGTAGAAGCAGCTGTGTAAAGTATCTGATATAATCCATCTTTTACGGAAATTAACTATAGTGTGAAATTAATACAAAATAAGCATTTAATACTATAAAAATAAGATTATAAATTTTTATAATTTACTAAAATTTAAACTATACATAACATACGAGTAATCAAATGCTTGAAATCGAGCGATGCGCTGTAAACAAGCTATTTTAGGGAATATACATGAAAACAAACTGCTTTACTAGATTTCTGTAAGAAAAGGTTCCGCAATTATATTTTTGCTCCAGCCAGATAACTAAAGGAATTTAAACTGGAGCTTTAGTTGGCAGTTATGAATATTATGTTGGGATATGTTTCCAGTTCCGTTTATTTTGTTTCCATCATTTTATTTGTAAAATTTCGATAATTAATCTTCCCTGTTGAATTGTACACCCAGACTCTCAGTACATATTATAATTTAACACCCAATATTCGGCAAACAAGATTACATATAGAATTCTGCAATTGGTGTTTTTTAATATTTTTTTCACGATTCTATAGAAATTGTTTTAATATACAGTATACTCTAAAATTCTAGAAATAAAATTTCATTTTTCATAAATATAATTGTTAAATTCTTCTGGATTCTTGATTTTAAAAATAGTACGATGTTCTTAATATTTAAATTTAGATCATGGTATTACAAAATTAATTAAAAGAGATAAAAATCCCTTCACATTAGAAGTTGTGATATATTTGTATCACTTAACGGTCATAAGTTAGACGTGGAGAGACAACAAAATATAGGCATTGGAAATATCGCTGGCGTTATGAAATTTTGAGAACTTGTGCAATCCGTTTAGTCTGTCAAATAATGTGACAAATAATCCTTTTACTTCTTACAAAGCAATGGAAGTATTGTTATCGCAGAAAAGTCTGATACACTATATCAAGGGAATTATACATTCTGAAAGTTCTTCGAACCATTTTCACTATTTTTTGCGTGATGTCTCTACGTACGGATAGAATAAAGGACTCTTTTTTGCAAAGCATATCGTAAAATGGTTTTAAAATGGAGTTTTCGTGATATCTGTACATGTATATCTATGTATGCATATCGAAAAACTAAAAAACGATTAGTGGTAGAAAGTTAAACATGTGACTGCTATAACATCTAGCTGTAGATTTCTCTTTCTTATTGCAAATGACAATACCATTTAAAATGACGAATACATTCATGTTTTATTGATTTCAAATTTAATTTTATAAAATTATCTAAATCTAACTATTAATGCAGTCTACCGGTTCTTATAATATGGAAAATTGTTATGAAAAAATAAAAATACAAGACGTTTGATTTCCATACGCAAAAGATTGACCGAGATATTTAATTTCAAAATCTGCAGTTTCTAATGTCATTTTCAATTTGCCTTGAGAGATAATTTAAGAAAATAAGTTTAATGAAATGCAGCAAAATCTGTGTATAATTTACAACAAGGAAGTCATGTGTCAAATCATGGTATCAAGTCATGTCAATCGTTACTTATTAAATCCGATGTTAGAGGTACAAATTGATTTCTTATTACAGGAATAAAATATAGCTGATACAAAAGAAATACTCAAAAACGTAGAACGAAATATGTAGCAAGTATAATAGTTAAAGGGCTAAGCGCGAACATATATGAAGGCCTCCCGCCAGTATTCCTTGAGAAAATGCTATTGCGTATGTCACATGACTCTGAGGGCAAAATGGACATTCTATAAGGGGGGAAATAACTTATTTTTTAAGCTTATATAAGCGATTGTAGTTTTCAAGAAAAGAATTTTTTTTTGTGTGTTTTTCACAGCATTTTGAAAACTCTACACTGTGAAATCCTAGTGTTTGATTTCCTTAGTTGAAGAGCGTCGCGACAAATTTGATAGTTATAATTAATGTTGTTAATCCCTCAACATGAAGATCTTCTCTTAGAGTTATGACGAAAATATAGATTTGATATTCTATTCCTTCAAAAAAAAATTACGTCACTCCGAAATAAAAATATAAACCTAACTGAATATTTAATATACAATTAAATTATTTGGATTGTTTACACAAAAATGTGACAAATAGTGTTCTGAATTAAAACGTTTCCATTAATTATATTCTTTTCATAATTCATCGCCCAGTTTTTTCTTCAAAAGAGTGGTGAGCTTTTATAAAAATCCCCGAAGCATAAATGTTTTTTAATTCTATGTATAATATTTTGTTTTAAACTTCGACGCTCAAATTACCTTCCAAAGAAAGTGGGAAGCAGGAATATATATTAACAATTTGTTGTGACTTTAAAAAACTATACAGGTACCAAACAGCTATTATATCAATGCTAAAAACTATTAATTACTTTAAATTGTTTCGATACTCGCAGATTACCAGAGTTTTTTTTTACTCTGTGTCGCTATTTTTCTTATTGAAGTTTATCACTGAATGTCTAATATTAAATGAACAGGCACAGAAGTAAAATTGCTTTAAATTTATTCTATCTCACTATTTGCGATGGATTAAATTAATGTATACAAACACAAATTTAACAGAGAACTTGATTCGGTTTAAAAGTAACTTGTTTTTCACAATTTCTATTATTTTAAAAATTTGATTTTAACCTGGGCAGAGACATCAAGCTTTGCCTAAATCGCAATAGAAATTCAAAGAAATGACTTACCAAATCATCATCTAATCTCAGTATAAAATATCTTATAGAAGACTCGCGTTGGAGTCGCCAAAATGTTACTCCAACAGGAGCAATGCACAGCTGGCCAAACCTTTTACATTCCTATTCCTAACTGTCTAAACTTTAAAGCAAAATTGTTCCCTTCAAATCCCTTCAAATCTACATAAATTCAAGAATAAGCGAACCTCTTGTCCAAAACAGGCAGAAACAAAAAAAAAAGGTAAATAAAATAATATTTCATTACCAGAACTTATGTCAGATAGTTTGTTCAAGTATGTTCAGCCTGGGCTTATTCTAGTTACCGAGCACTGTTCTTCATTAAGAGAAACTGCAAGGTTTCTAAATAGTGCAGACTTTGTGTAATTTCATGCTGGTGTCACTGATTTAGAATAACAACTTTCAAGATATTCTGTAGAAGCCAGGGAGACCAGATGTTTTATTTTATGATTTTCTTGAGGTCACTGAAAAGATCTAGAATGGTTTACATTCATTGTCAGTAAAAGTACCATTTACTTTTATACTGTAATTCGCTCTGTAACAAACAAAAATAGTTTACATTCATGTCAGTAAAGTACCATTTACTTTTATACTGTGATTCTCTCTGTAACAAACTGAATGAATAGATATAAAATATGGTCATGATCTGAGGTAATAATTTCAAGCATCTCTTCAGTTTAACACCGTATGTTAAATATTTAAAACACTTTTGGAGAGACATCCAACCATGTTATATTTAAAGTATTAAATGATAATCATAACTGATAACCTAAGTGTAATTATAGGTGAAAATCAATTAAACTGAAGGTGTGCTAAATAAAAGTTTTGCGCTGCACCATGAATTAGTTTTTAATAAAATGCTTAGCACTAAATTTTGGAGTAATTTCGCAAATGAATGACGCAAATTTGCAACAAACCGAAGCGTGCTCTTTTAATCAATCACCTAACACTTTATGATATATTAGAAACAAAATTTTAATCCATAGAAATTCATTTAACAATAAAAGATATTTTTTGCATTCTGTGCATGCTTGATATACTGGATTTTTAACATACTTTCGCTGAATGTTTAAAATTACGAAAAGGATTAGATGAAAAGCATACGCAAAACAATGTTTAGATGTCTCTAAAGTCTGAAATTTAATGTTTCGTCGCTTTTGTATGGTACATTTTCTCAACAATATTTTTTCCACTCTTGTTGCTTAAGACTTCAGTTAATACTTTATTTAATAATAGATTTATAGGAAATCGTGTTTTGACAGCCGAAACAAAATGAGTGCATAACAAAAGCGCTCTTCCGTCGAATACAAGAAATTAATCACAGAGGACTCATAGAGCAAGGATCATACGCTTTTTGTAAAGGAAAAATCGCTGTTGGATCTCATTTAAAGAATTTAGATTTTTCTGGCTGAAAACCGTTGCAGTTATTGACTAGAAATCAAATCTCATGATGGCAGCCTGAATTTTTCTAGACTCTTAAACATGAATGGGTGAAACTAGAATGTTTATAGGTCTATGATCTCAGATGAGGATTTGATCAGAGGACATTTTCATCAATTATATTTTTTTCATTGGTTATGTGCATTACCAAAATTTTAGCAATTCGCCTGCATGGAAAGAAAACTGTGCCCCTAATCATCACTAAAGTAAAACGAAGATAAGACTAAATGTGTTTCTTAACAAAAAAAAAAAGGCCTGAAGCATACATACAGCTATAAAGATATCGGTAGATTTAAGTTTATCAGTTGCTCTCCGAGGTGGTCAAAGAGATTTGAAAGACTGGAATCGCGTCAGTATTCATCACACTAAAGGATTGAAGAACTTCCTTGCAGAAATTATGCATCAAATATTGATTTTTGTAGAATGACTGCATATCTCCATACTCTTGATATTGCAATAAACAAGCCATTAAAGTACTGTTTTTGCATTTAATTAGAACGGCATAAAATTCAGCGGGAAAAGTATATAAAGCATAGCCCGCGAGATGTCTTAACTTGGATGAAACATTCATAACCTAAAGTGACTAACACTGACGGACTCAGTCATTGAGTCGTTCGGAATTCGCTGACGGACTCAGTCATTGACAGCTAAAGGTTTGTCAATGCAGTATGAACAGGCCACATAGACAGGAAATGTAACTTTAGGAGAATGTTGTTATTATACATGAGGGATAAGGATCTGGGATTTCATAGGAAAGTGAATCTAGGAAATTTCAGTTCGGAATTCGAGGTTTGGATCTTTATGATGATATTCCAGGAGATAACGTATGACTGAATTTGAACAAATGAAAATATTTTGCATGAGTCTATAAGTAAATTAATATTATTATATATGAATACATGAATAAATGCAAATTGAAAATGCGTAAATGTAAATTATTGTGCATGAAAAAGTAAGACATCCCTGAAATAAGCTCAAACATATATGTTGGTCGATCTGAAACCTAATATTATTTTCGAAGAAATCGGTAATAGTCATCATCATGTCGACATATAAAATGTTAATTGATGCGCAGATGATTCACAGTTAATGAAGATTATTAACATACGTTTGCTTACATATTTCAAAAAACAATTCAACCATCACTGAAATCATATGAATGAAATATAACTAATACTGAAACAAGACCAGTAAAACTTACAAATAGGACTATTCTTCCTTCTTCCAGCCAGAAGTCTTTAAAGAATGCAATCCAATACCTTACAAGCTAGGCTTTTATACAGTTTCATTAAAAGACCTAGATGTTTATCCTAAATTTATTTAACACATCTAACCCTACAAGCCACTCCAGATTTATCAAAGAGTTCCACCGAAGTAACTATAACTCATTTACCAGCATTTTATTCTATTTAACAAAGCGTAGCGTTTGATCAAATGTAAACTTTAGTTACAAGGAACACTGTCAAGTATAAATATTAAGAAGATACAAGATTTTTTTCGAATACTCTTACCGTTAATTAAATACGGGAAAATACAAGTTCCTTTTTAATGTTAGCTCCTTAATTCTTAGTTTCTTGAAAAAGTGAATGTTATTAAGAAGAATTTTGTGAGTTAACTAAGAGTTTTAGACGACGAGTTTCATCCAATATATAGTAAATGTAGAATTTAATCATGAAACTTTACCTTATTTTGGTTTGAAATTCTGATTTTTTTAACAAAAATGTTAATTTAATTTTGTTCCAGCATAACAAAATATATAAAAAAAGAATCGGTAATGAATTTTATTATGCATTTTTGATAGATTAGATATTGAAATACATGTTCTCAAAATGAATTTAGAACGCAGTGATTTAATAAATTAATACAATTTTCAAAACAAGCAAATATTTTTCCACATTCCACATGCTAAACCAAAGTGATTTAAATTTTTCTCTTTCGTATGGTGAAAAGGGAAGTATTTATTAAAATTGGTAATTTTGAGGTAACTAATTTCAGCTTAAACTTTTCGAGAGATAGTCAGTCAATGATTCATAAATATACTGTATGCATATAAAAATTCATGCACTGTGCATGTACAAATATTTTGGTATAAGGTTTCAATAAATTCAAAAGGCAATTCATAGCATTTAGCATTTATTATTGTGACATCATATATCAAGCTTCTTAAATTATTGTATACTTTTATATACAAAATTTTCTGAGCAGTCTATCGTTGCATTGGCTAAAAATGTTTCTTTTAAGCTAGTAAATACCTTCTGCCATGAATCAGAAAGCTGAGGAAAAATTTTTTGCTGTAAAGCGCAAAAAATAGCAATGACGTTGATGTTAAACTCAAGTATGGCCAATCTCTGCAGCTTCGAAAAGATGAAAATTTAAAGCGTTCGATAATTGTTGCTTAAAAATCTGATAGAAAACGTTAAGCTTATAGTTGAAAAGTTCAGGCTGAAATTATTATCTCTTCGAATGATAGCTGGAGAGTTTAACAGATAAATATGAATATTATAGGAAAGATCTTGAACGATAAAGAATTGTTTTCCTTTGGTTCCTCATGCACTGACTGCAGAACAGAAAGCAGTTCTAATTTCTAGATGCTATTATTTGATTTAAACAGCAAGTTTAAATGCTGATATTTTCAAATAAACTGTGACTGGAGATTCAACTAGGTGATTTGTTTATGGTTCTGAGACAAAGAGGTTATCATCTGCTGTGGTTGAAGAACGTATTCACAGAATTTATTAAATTTCAAATTTGTCAAGTAAAGCTAATAATAGGGAATTTGTTCTGATAAGAAAAAGATAATTCACAAGGAACTTGTTCCTGAGGGACAGAGGGTGAACCCCATATTTTTTAAAGATTTAATGAACAGATTCTGAAGATAATTCAGCGTGTTAAGCCTAAAAAATTCAATCGAAAAACTAGCTTTTGCTGCACGAGTGCCTTCACATAGTTTCATTCTCAGCAAACAATTTCTAAGAAAGTAATGTGTCTTATCTGATTTGTACCTATGTATTACCTTCTCTTCTTTTAAGTGAAATCTCTTAATAATATTGAAGAGATGCAGATGACCTTTAGTAGTATTCTCAAAGATGAATTCTGTAATGGATTTCAGCTGCTGTATGAAAGTAACAAGCTTGGTACAGACTTATAAAAGACTAATGAATATTCTGCACAATAAGATTAAGAAGAGGAAAATTCTATTATTTTGTTGTTATTAATAGATAGGAAATAATACATTCAATAAGAGATCTGAAATTATAAAATTGTTGAAAGGTTTAGGTAAATTTCTCGTTTGCTTGTAAGGTATTTCTCCTGCCTTCTTAGCGAGCCTTCGTGGTGTAGCGGTCAGCACACTCAGCGCGTAATTGATAGGTCCGCGGTTCGATTCCCGAAGAAGGCAGTTGCTAATTTTTCATCTCTCTTGTTTCCAAAAAAAATCTACTTAAATTCCAAACTGCATATGTACTGAAACTTACTTCCTTTAGTGCAGGTTTATTGTTCCTTTTTACAAAAATAAAGCTGAAATTCGAAACCTTCGGTAAGCAGACCATGTAACAATTACATTTAATTTACACAAACACCAAATTTCTATGTTTCCAGACCTTCTATATCAGTCTCTCCTTGTCAAATTTCGCGTAAAAATTCAAAAGGGAAAACACTAAAACGGATATTAAAATGGAGAACGACACATATATGAAGCTGATATAAACAAAATTATATACAAGAAGATATAAACATGATATAAACTAAATTACATAGGCTATGCTGTAAGAAAAAGAGAGAATATTTTATTTCATTAGCATCCTGTTTCCATTCTATAGCTACAAGACCGCTAACGCCTTCAATATATGTACGTGGATGACTACTTAAGACGAGTTCATGAGCGTTTTCTTTTAGCTGATTATTCTAAACCATGTACTGATTTCTATATCAACTATTATATGATAGGTCATGGCCTCTTCTTAACATGTCTGTGTACAGGAAACTTTATAGGCAGCAATCGTTTCTTTAATGAAGATAAGTGGAAATCCTGACTAATATCTATTCGCATACACCCTTACTTAACAACTCCAACAAAATTCACAGCGTATAAAAATAATAAGAATTGGATGAAAATAATAAACTCAGAAACAAAACAATAAGCACTGTAAGAACAGTAAATGCTCTAGAAAGAGATATCTGCTAACTAGGAGAGTTTATCATGTTTACCAATTCTATAAAATCTTCATCTTTTAATAACTGTGGAAACAGGCTTCTCAAATTCATGTTCTTCAGTGGATTCACGGAGCTATGAAACCTATACATCGAAAGTAATATTTGAAGGAGTATAGTTTTAAAGAGGTAGCATGGGAGGACTATAGCATTGCTGATCTGATGTCTTTTGTAGTTTAATCTATTCCGTTAGAAGTCGATGTTCATCATCTACTATTACTGATCCTCTAAATATAAATATATGTCTTACTACCTAGATCAAATTTCGTTTATTAGCTGAGATTCAGTTAGAAAATAAGTAAGGGACCATATGCAGAATATTCCTGGTTAAGTGTAATGTTTGTTAGGAGTTTCTTGAGACTTTAATGTCACGTCATCAGTTTTAAGCTTTCAAGAACTTCAAAGATCTAAAAAAACAAAAAGTTTGATAAGTGCTATATTCGCTGATATATCTCTTTCTCTGAAAGCGTTTTTCGTTACCACTCACAAAATTCTGAAAAGCTGTACTAGATTTGTGTAATTTCTCTTAACTAAATTAATGAATTAATTTTAGTCAACCATTTAATAAAAAAAATTGCTGAAAGATATTTATGAAAGAAAATGCCATCAGACTCTTTTTATCCGAGGGAAAAATAAATGTTTTTCATAAAAGCCAAGTAAAGTAAAATGAACTTAAATTAGGAACGTTTATTTTCCCATCAGAATTACGTCATAATCCAGAAGCACAAATAATCTTCTTTAGTTAGAAAATGAAATCTCCAGAATACAATTGAAATTTATTCTTTAGGATTTTTGAAGCAGTAGACCGGAAAATGAGTAGTGCCCTTGCCGGAACTCGAACCTTTACTTTGAGAATGTGCTGCCGATCCACCACGAAGGCACGCTGAAAGGAGGCGAAAAAAACCTTATAAGTTAACTAATTGCACTACAACATATGTATCAGATTTCATAAAAATTAAGAAAATCGTGGTTAAGCAACGTAATTTAGAATTAATTTTTCAAAACTATAAAAACAAATAGTTAATTTCAGAGTAATAACTTTAACGAAAGATTTATATAAAATTCTCTTCCGCAGACGAAATACTTTAAACATATGAAGTGGATAAACTCTTTTCATAACTTCAGAGGATTTCTTAAAGCACACGATGGTATATAAAAAAGAACATAAATAACCTAAATTAACATTAGCACAGAATTTCTAAATAATTGAATGGAATTTCATTTGATAAAATAAATGAGTAAATCTAAATATATAATACTGAAACTGAAATTTTTATCTAAAAAATTTTAGAATGAATGTAAAAAGTCATTAAATGTAAACTTTTGAAAATTAATAATCCTACCACGTAAACCTTCGCTACTGAAAAAAAGAAAAATTCTTTCCTCTGCCTGAAACTTATTCTAGCTTCAAATAAACAACACAGACGTCTTAGAAGCTTACGTTGCACATTAGCATCAGACTGAGATGTATCTAAGACTTCATCTCATCTTATATTCCTAAGGAATTCAGTGGATGGAGTAAATTTCGAAGTATTTTTTCTTTCCAAATTTTCTCGATACATCCAAACTTCTGATTACGTGCTTTGAATGAAAGAGCGGGGAATAAAAAGATGGGAGAAGAGAATATTTGATGCTAAATAGAACGGAGGGAATCTGCCGAAGATATTTCAGGTCTAATTCTTTCATTCTTCTCAACATTCAGTTCGTAAATGTTATTGCTCAAGAACTTAGCAGCTTAAATTATCAGCAGTCGATATTATACTCTATCGTCTCAGACAAAATGTTTCTGCAAAGCAATGCTCAAATCACATTGGCTTATTTCGTAGTTATGTCATTCTATATTTTTAAGCCTTTGAAATAATGATTATTTATCCTGAACCATTCCTATTAATTGCGTTTTTGAATTCTTAAGTAAACACATCTCAATGTAACACATTATTGAAGCATGTAATGACTTTGTTTTTATTACATTTCACGATTTTACATTCTGCAATTAGCGTATGTATGGATTTAATGGTAAAGAATATTTACCTTTAATTG